TGTCTTATTGTGAGGTCAATAACTCTGAAAAATACATCATGGGTAAGAAACATATTGTTTTTAATAAAATCATTTATAGTAGTAGCGAGCTATCAAAGTTGACCTCCGGTCCTCCTTCTCATCTTCACTCTCTCCTTCTCAAACTGAACAGAACATAGGCTATAGGCTAGTCCACATGTCAGGCCTAATACAAAAATATTTTCAGAAGAAGCCTTTGACTCTCCTCCTGAACTGCCACCGTAGCCCTACACAGCACAGCCTTTGGTTAGGCAGCAAAAAAAACGTGTTTGATCAGCAAGAGCAGAGTAGGCCGGGCTCAGGGTTGGAATATCCATTGCAGTGTTTAATGCAGCCTAGTTTTATTTACACCATCCCAACAGCCATCTTACAAATATAACTTTGCTTTGTGCTTCTCCGAGCACGCACTTCATTTGATTGAGAACACGCTAAATAGCCTATAGGCGCACTTGATATTGCGCGCCCAGCTGAGAATTAGAGATGAGCGGCGACATCGGGCACACATCCATACATAGCCTAATAAGCAACTAATTCTAAAACACTGAGAAATATTGAAATGTCTTCAATTACAAATTATATGACCCTCCCCTGGACTAGATATTTTTTTTAAACACTAAACCCTCCCCTTGACTGAAATTGAAAATATATGAACCTCCCCCATTTCCTCCAGCTACCCATTATATACATTTTGATCCATCCCTAAGAAGAGAGAATGTGCCTAAAATCTGACTCACTCCAACTCCACTATCTCTGTCTAGCTAGACTACCTCTGTCTCATGTCATTTTAAATTCACTTCAAATTCACTTCAATAACTGAACTGATGATATTTGATATTGCACAATATCATACAGGGATTCATTCATATTATTAATATAATGTAATAACATGATGAAGATACTGTAACAGTAATATCAAGACGATGGTATGTTATTGTGATCATATGAGTTCGCACTCTATTAAGAGGGCCAAGAATAAGCCTGAGATATCAGTCCATTTTGCCATTTGCTGCATTGAATCCAGATTGACATTGAGTTGGACTGTGTCGTTAGTCTGTGTTGGCCCCGAAGATAAATCCATCCCAGACCAGAATAATCTCCTCTGACAGCTCGTGACAGCCCCTGAGAGTTTAGCAGCTCTGAGGATCCGCTCCATCATTAAATTGGGTATATTGTTGGGTAATATTGCACACTGCCTGAAGCAATCCCAATTGACAGGTTTACTTGGGGATTTCTTGTGCTTGACATCCCAGAGTGACATTGACCTCTGCTGGCCATGAGAGTCATTGCAGGTGAATTTGCCTGAGGCAAATTATATTACTAAAAAAGAGTGTTGAGATAATTGCCACAGCCTGATCCCCTCCTCTTCTTCCTCCTCCCTTTTCATCTATCTATCTATCTATCTATCTATCTATCTATCTATCTATCTATCTATCTATCTATCTATCTATCTATCTATCTATCTATCTCTCTCTCTCTCTCTCTCTCTCTCTCTCTCTCTCTCTCTCTCCTCTCGCTCTCTCATCTCTCCTCTCTCTCTCTCCTCTCTCTCTCTCTCTCCTCTCTCTCTCTTCTCTCTCTCTCCTCTCTCCTCTCTCTCTCTCCTCTCTCTCATTCAATTTAAGGGCTTTATTTAAGGGCTTTATTGGCATGGGAAACGTGTGTTAACATTGCCAAAGCAAGGGAAGTAGATAGTAAACAAAAGTGAAATAAACAATAAATATTAACAATAAACATTACACTCAGAAGTTTCAAAAGAATATAGACATTTCAAATGTCATATTATGTATATATACAGTGTTGTAACAATGTGCAAATAGTTAAAGTACAAATGGGAAAATAAATAAACATAAATATGGGTTGTATTTACAATGGTGTTTGTTCTTCACTGTTTGCCCTTTTCTTGTGGCAACAGGTCACAAATCTTGCAGCTGTGATGGCACACTGTGGTTTTTCACCCAGTAGATAAGGGAGTTTATCAAAATTGGGTTTGTTTTCGAATTCTTTGTGGATCGCTGTAATCTGAGGGAAATATGTGTCTCTAATATGGTCATACACCTGGCTCAGTTTCCACCTCATTTTGTGGGCAGTGTGCACATAGCCTGTCTTCTCTTGAGAGCCAGGTCTGCCTACGGCGGCCTTTCTCAATAGCAAGGCTATGCTCACTGAGTCTGTACATAGTCAAAGCTTTCCTTAAGTTTGGGTCAAGTTCTCTCTATCTATCTCTCTCTCTCTCTCTCTCTCTCTATATCTCTCTATCTATCTTACATCTCTCTCTCTCTATCCCTCTCTCTAATCTCTCTCTCTCTCTCTCTCTCTCTCTCTCTCTCTCTCTCTCTCTCTCTCTCTCTCTCTCTCTCTCTCTCTCTCTCTCTCTCTGCCATGTAGAGAGGAGGCAGAACTAGGCCTACTTCCTACTTCCTGATTAATTGGGGACGGGGCTTCACCTGTGGTTCTATTTGTGAACATCCTGTCTTTTCTCCAGCGGTCAAAATGCAGTAAGATCCGCGCTGCGAGCCCGTCAGCAGAATCTCTAATGCCTTCTGCCACTATGGGAGCCAAGGATCTGGGAAATATCTCCATTAAATATGCACAAGGTCCACAAGGGACAGGCAGTATTAATATTATTAGAGTCATGAGGTAGGCTATACTCTGGGAAAGGGTCCAACTAAAACGTTAACTCAGGAAGGTTGAAATGGAGCCTTTATTTATGGAGGTGATTAACTGGGACTGGGTAGGGTCAGAAGCAGACTTGTTCGGTGCTTGGCATGCAGTGAGGGGCGTTTTGGAGCCTTCTTCTGGACAAAATGACTGGAAGCTAAACGTAGTGCGGTACATGAACTGTATACTGACTGTCATTTATGGTGCTGCGTTCATGTGCTCTCAGAATTATTGGAAACTTACAGAACTCGTGACTGAGAAACTCCCGGAAATCCCCTGGACTCGTCATAACTACGACTTTTAGACTTCCAAATCAGTTCATAATGAGCTTTGATGAATAGAGGGAAATGTTGGTAACAAAACATTTCAAGTCAAAATACAAAGACATCTTAATCCATGTTTATTGTCATCATAAATAACAGTCTGAAACAGAAAATACATCTTAATCCGTGTTTATTGTCATCAGAAATAACAGTCTGAAACAGAATCTGTGTTTATTGTCATCAGAAATAACAGTCTGAAACAGAAAATACATCTTAATCCGTGTTTATTGTCATCAGAACTAACAGTCTGAAACAGAAAATACATCTTAATCTGTGTTTATTGTCATCATAAATAACAGTCTGAAACAGAAAATACATCTTCATCCGTGTTTATTGTCATCAGAAATAACAGTCTGAAACAGAAAATACATCTTAATCCTTGTTTATTGTCATCAGAAATAACAGTCTGAAACAGAAAAGGACAACAAATTATAGATGTAAGTGAACAATACGTCACAGGAAAATATGCTATAAAAACAAATAAATTGTAATGGGATGCTGTTTGCATGACAAAGAGTTAAACTTTGATGGTATTGCCACTGTACAAAAAGGATGGCCGTACATAGCTGAGAGACATGTCCAAGTCAGTTTTTCAAACACGGTTTTCTTGTACTGTACTGAGGTAAGGTTCTGTTTTAGTTCAATGAGAACAACAAGGAAACAGGATGCGTAGGGGTTCTAGTGTGGTACAACACAGCCATAATCCAAGATCATACTGACCTATCAATCTATTAAACACTGATCTCAAAACATGTCACAAATGAAAGAGTAAGTAAAAATCTGGTTGCTATAAATTTGTCAAACTGCATTAATATCACTCTATTTCTATGTGAAGGAAAAGCATTTACAATTTGGAAGCAATTTTCAGTTATCTAAGTACACAAGCAATTATGGTCATTTTGATTAAATTAAAATGTGTGTAAAGAGAACGTGATTTACTCTGATTTCAATGCATGTTATTTTTTTCTTACTGTCTTTATGTTCTTATGATACGTTCCTACGATCCGGTTTAAATTATAGATATTTTTGAATGATATCATTTGTTAATCAATATGCACTGAAATGCGTCTTAGTGATTGATTTGAAAGCTAGGCATGTCTTCCTGATTCATCCACAGAGAAACAGACCAGGAGAAGATTACTCTACATCCTGCCTCTTCTGTCCATCAAGGGGGACTCCTTTATAATCTTCAGTATCTCACAATCTGACACCAACTTCCCTTTAGTTTTCCTTTTGGACTTCCTGGATTATTTCCAAGTGGACGGATCAGTAACATGTTTGCCACTTGTTAAAGTTGTTGAGTCTCGTTTCTGCTTCTTTTTGTTACTGTCACCTGCTTCACCATGCCCAGTTCTTTACTGTGTGAAGGTTAGAAAAATACATCCATCCATCCATCCATTCAACTCCCATCCAAAATGCTGAGTGGGTTAACAGACTACCATAATGAAGCTCTTGCAGTAATCCAAAATTGCTGGAAAGGCGTGTTCTGCTGCTGCTGCTGCCTCGGCCTGCCCTCTGTGCCCTTTGCCTGAGGTGGGAGAACATACCACGGTGGGGGATCAACACTGAGGTGGGAGAACCTACCACGGTGGGGGATAAACACTGAGGTGGGAGAACCTAACATGGTGGAGAACCAATACTGCATCTGTTGCGACCACATCAACTTATGTACAGAAGGGAAAAGGTGGATCCTACTCTAGTTCACCTGAGTTCTGGTTTCTGTACCTTATCACTTGGCCATACTTTACCTGGCCATGCAGGGAGATAGCAACCAGGTTGGGGGGGACACGACATATACTTGCTGTGTTGTGCTGGAATGAATGGCTGGATGGGGGGGGCAGGGGTGTTAGAGTATTGTATTGTTGCCTAGCAATGAGAGCGCAGAGGGAACAAGAGAGAAGAGACATTCATTTCACAGGCAGGCGCAGGCAGAGTGGAGTCTCTGGGCACGTGGTTGGAGTCTTTGTTACATGCTTTGTCGTGGAAAGCCGCACGGCCTCCCTACGTGTCCAGGCGTCTGGCAGGTTTTCTCTTGGCTTTGCGTGCGTACAGGAAGTACATGGTGTGTCCCGTGGTGATGAACAGTACAGATATGATGACCAGGATGCCAAAGTGCTGCGGCTGCGGAGCAGAGATGACCATGATGAAGTGGAGAAGGTCCATCAGGTAGTTCATGGAGCTCTGGACGCCGTTGACCACGCCGCGTTCCGACTCACAGATGTTCTCCTGAAGCAGCTGGGTCACGGTCAGGTCGAAGGACCACAGACCTGGAACACACAGGATACACAGAGAACAGACGGTCAATGGTTGCTATGGTCTATACAGATAGACTACTACACTATGGTCTATACAGATAGACTACTACACTATGGTCTATACAGATAGACAACTACACTATGGTCTATACAGATAGACAACTACACTATGGTCTATACAGATAGACAACTACACTATGGTCTATACAGATAGACAACTACACTATGGTCTATACAGATAGACAACTACACTATGGTCTATACAGATAGACTACTACACTATGGTCTATACAGATAGACAACTACACTATGGTCTATACAGATAGACAACTACACTATGGTCTATACAGATAGACAACTACACTATGGTCTATACAGATAGACTACTACACTATGGTCTATACAGATAGACAACTACACTATGGTCTATACAGATAGACAACTACACTATGGTCTATACAGATAGACAACTACACTATGGTCTATACAGATAGACTACTACACTATGGTCTATACAGATAGACAACTACACTATGGTCTATACAGCTAGACTACTACACTATGGTCTATACAGATAGACTACTACACTATGGTCTATACAGATAGACTACTACACTATGGATCCATTGCTGTAGTCTCCATTCAGTCAGACACTGCAATCAAAACTGGTAAGCATTTTTCTGGTATAATACGAAAATGATTATCTTCCAACACTATTTGAACTAATTTACTGTTGAGTTTCAAAGAACTGAATACCCACAGCCTATGCTAGAAACATATATAGTACAGTTGCTATTGTTAAGCTGTGGATCAGCAAACCACTAACTCAATCTGATTGTGAAGGGCCTGGGCCTGGTCGTCCCTCTTACTCACCGATGCGTGCTGTGATGACACCCAAGAACAGCAGGATTATAGAGATGTAGGAGTCTGGCTCCGTGCCCGACGGCATGTTCTCAAACAGCACTGTGTTGTTGGTCCAGTGGATGGACGAGCGGTCGGGCAGCAGCGGCTGATTAATGCCACCCCGCATCGGGTAGGTGTGTTTCTGCCTCTGGCCCGCCACCATCCCCCCGGCCGCCGCCAACGACGAGTTGGCGTTGGTGTCCAGGAAGGGCATGAGCAGGCTGAGGTCCATGGGGCTGCCAGGGGCAAACACAGAACACACACACAGCAGCAGACAGCAAAGATGGAGACAGCTGGAGATGATGCCTGTGTTGACTAAACCGTAGGCCTTCCTCAGCTTGGTGAACATGACTGTGCCCATGAGGCCTGTTATAGCCGAGACGCCCATCAGCAGACTGAGCAGGGAGCCACTGATGCCCTGGGTGTAGGCGTAACCGGTGGTGATGCAGTCGAAGCCAAGGACAGTTGTGTAGAGGAAGGCCAGGCCCATCCCAGCCAGGAAGACATCCTGGCGGTAGTAGGCCCTCCAGCCGTCCTTACAGGTGCTCAGGAGCCAGCGGAAGCGTCCGAAACACAGAGGCAGGTTGGTGATCTCCTTCAGGTTCAGGCTCATGTCGTCATCGCTGAGGCCCGGGGCTGATGTCACCACCTCACTCTGCTCTACTGAGAGGGAGAGGGACAAACATCAGTCATGCTGCTAACATCATCCATTAACTAACTTAGGGCAATGGTGTTTTCAAGTAGTACTGCTTTTCCATAGAGATGAATAAGCATGTATGTGCTGTGCATGTTGTGGAGTTACAGTTAGGTTTCTTGACCTCACGTATCTTCCAACCAATTTCAGCCACTTTTACTGTAAAGTAAAGCTATACTTCACTGTAAAGTTGGATGAAATAGGTTGGAAGATCCACTATACTTTACTTGACCAACTCAACTACTGAAGCAGTCACACGGTGACCAGGACACCAGGACCCCAAGGAAACTGACCTTGTGACCCCCTTTTCTCCACCAGTCCCTCGGTCCTCTCTTCTGGTCTCTCCAGGGTGGCCTGGCCGTCCTCGGGCGTGGGCGGTTTGACTGACAGCGCCGGGACAATGCGGTAGACCCGGGACAGGAAGATAAACTCCACTATGAGGGACACCAGGTTCCAGCCCAGGATGAAGCCGCAGCCAATCACGTTGGAGGCCAGGGTCATGACCTGTCCCACCGACAGTGGTGCCAGGATGTTGGTCACCTGATCGATGCGCCGCATGGTAGCATTCATCCCTTCAGATCAGAATCAAACCAAACGTACAGGGTTTTGTTTGGTTGTGGTGATATTAGAACTTGTGCTACCAGTTTGCACTAATGCCTAAATTAGCAACCTCTTCTACTTCTATTGTAATGCATGTGATACATCCTAGAAAAACTAAATACATAGAGTGTCTGATAAACTTGAAGTGCTTTAACCACCAGCCAGTTCAGCAGCTGAAACAGAAACAACAATCCCTCATGATGTAATAGCTTGCGGCAGGTCTGCCAGTCTCACCGGCGAGGTGACCCCGGTTGTAGCCAGTGATAACCACAATCCAGTCCCTCTGGATGGCGATGGTCAGCGCCGTGCTTGCTAGGTTAGCCACATCTGCCAGGACGATCACCACCGTATAACAAACCACCTTGTGTAAGTTTTGTGATGCAACACGTTACTACGCATGACAGCACAGAGCAGCAGGAGGCTCAGAACAGCAGCAGCAGCAACAACATGGACACAGAACAGTGGCAGTAGAAACAGCAACCGTCACAGCAGTTTACAATCATATATCAAGCCTGATTCTCAAGAGACCTGGGGTTTAAATAGTATTCATTTTCTTTCAAATACATTGAGCGTTTGATTGAGCATGCCTGGAGCACAGGATGGGTGGAATTTGTACTTTTAGGACTATTCCATTGGTTCCATTGCACCAGGCATACTCAATCAAGTGCAGATAAAGTCTTTGAAAGAATACAAATACTATTTGAATCCATGTCTGATTCCAAAACATACTGTAGGTTCACATCATGAGAGTTTAGATGGTATGGGAAAGAAAGGGAGAAACATACTCACAGTTAACCAGCCATCCCAAATGCTCTCAATCCACTGTTTATATGAGAAGACCAACATGAGCACAATGCTACACACCGTCACTGAAATGTTCTGAACCAACAACGATGCATGCGCCACTAAAACCAAGGAGGGAGAAGAAACTAAGATTCTAAAATATTCTGTAACAGTGTATCATAAATACATCATTGGTCTTAAAGGGGCAATCTGCAGTTGCTACAGTACATACATTTTGGGACTTTTAAAGTAATGATACAGTGCATTCGGAAAGTATTCAGACCCCTTGACTTTTTCCACATTTTGTTACGTTACAGCCTTATTCTTTTTCCCCTCATGAATCTACACAATACCCCATAATGACAAAGAAAAACAGGTTTTTAGAAATTTTTGCAAATGTATTACAATAAAAAACGGAAATATCACATTTACATAAGTATTCAAGACCCTTTAATCAGTACTTTGTTTAAGCACCTTTGGCAGCGATTACAGCCTCAAGTCTTCTTGGGTATGAAGCTACAAGCTTGGCACACCTGCATTTGGGGAGTTTCTCCCATTCTTCTCTGCAGATCCTCTCAAGCGCTATCAGGTTGGAGCGGGAGCGTCGTTGTACAGCTATTTTCAGGTCTCTCCAGAGATGTTCGATCTGGTTCAAGTCCAGGCTCTGGCTCGGCCACTCAAGGACATTCAGAGACTTGTCCTGAAGCCACTCCTGCGTTGTCTTGGCTGTGTGCTTAGGGTTGTTATCCTGTTGGAAGGTGAACCTTCGCCCCAGTCTGAGGTCCTGCACGCTCTGTAGCAGGTTTTCATGAAGGATCACTCTGTACTTTGCTCCGTTCATCTTTCCCTCAATCCTGACTAGTCTCCCAGTCCCTGCTGCTGAAAAACATCCCCACAGCATGATGCTGCCACCACCATACTTCACCGTAGGGATGGTGCCAGGTTTCCTCCAGACGTGACGCTTGGCATTCAGGCCAAAGAGTTCAATCTTGGTTTCATCAGACCAGAGAATCTTGTTTCTCATGGTCTGAGTCCTTTAGGTGCCTTTTGGCAAACTCTAAGCGGGCTGTCGTGCCTTTTACTGAGGAGTGGCTTCCTTCTGACCACTCTACCATAAAGGCCTGATTGGTGGAGGGCTTCAGAGATGGTTGTCCTTCTGGAAGGTTATCCCATCTCCACAGAGGAACTCTGGAGCTCTGTCAGAGTGACCATCGGGTTCTTGGTCCCCTCCCTGACCAAGGCCCTTCTCCTCCGATTGCTCAGTTTGGCCGGGTGGCCAGCTCTAGGAAGAGTCTTCCTAACTTCTTCCATTTAAGAATGATGGAGGCCATTGTGTTCTTGGGGACCTTCAATGCTGCAGACATTTTTTGGTACCCTTCCCCAGATCTGTGCCTCAACACAATCCTGTCTCGGAGCTCTACGTACAATTCCTTCGACCTCATGGCTTGTTTTTTGCTCTGACATGCACTGTCAACTGTGAGACCTTATATAGACAGGTGTGTGCCTTTCCAAATCATGTCCAATCAATTGAATTGACCACAGGTGGACTCCAATCAAGTTGTAGAAACATCTCAAGGATGATCAATGGAAACAGGATGCACCTGAGATCAATTTCAAGTCTGATAGCAAAGGGTCTGAATACTTATGTAAATAAGGTTTTTTGTTTTTTAATAAATGTGCCAACATTTCTAAAAACCTGTTTTCGCATTGTCATTATAGGTTATTGTGTGTAGATTGATGAAGGGAATGTTTTAATCCATTTTAGAATATGGCTGTAACGTAACAAAATGTGGAAAAAGTCAAGGAGTCTGAAGACTTTCGGAATGCACTGTATATAGCCATTGAGTCTAAAATAATATAACTTGTAAATGACTCATGAGCTTAGCTCATCTGTCGTACCCCATCAGAACCCCAAATATACTATTGTTTTACTTTGTAATTGTAAACTAACACAGTATAGCTTCAAAACATGATTAAAACTATAATTTGCATCTCATGGATGGTCAGTACTTGCGTCCATAGCTCTAACTATGAATTTGAGAGTGGTTACATTTATCCATCCCCATCCCTCAGCAATTTACCAAAACAGTGGCGGGGTGACAACTTTGTTATTGTTTGAACTGCAGAGGGCCCCTGAGAGGCAGGAAATTAGGACTGTGTCCCAAATGGCATCCTATTCCATATTATATTGCAGTACCTTTAGGGTGCCATTTGGGACTAGATGTCAGTCCCTATAGATGTAGATATAAATTATTGTTGGTCTAACCTTTGTTCCTGGGGTTGCGGTCAACCCAGTCCCCAATCAATGCCCCCAGCAGCAGCACTGACCCCGCCACCACCAAGCCGAATATTGCGGTCAGCAGCAGGTTACGACCATACAGCTCGATCAGGAACACCGAAATGGCAAAGTGCCACATACGGTCACCCTATTAGAAAGACAAATAGTCATCATGACTGAGAAAAAACGTTTTTAGCTTTTGGCTTTTAGCTTTTTACTCTTTCTAGGGCTTTATGTCATAAGAGAAATGTAAATTGTTTTGATCTTTCATTGATTTGTAAGATACTACCAGGTTGATGACACATAAACTGTATAGTGTCCAGCCGGTATGGCTTTGTAGCTCCCTTACCCATTGTTGTTACATGAAAAGGCTTCTTACCCACATGGACAGTGCTCCACTGACGTAGATCAGGAATTTAGGGCCCCTGAGGTAGATGAGGGCTGACCCTGGTGAGTACATTCAACAGAGACACACAGTAACATGAACAATAACCAGAGGTAACATCATTACGGATCTACAGGACACATTCTGCAAATAAAGCTGTAAAACTACCTAATATTAAGCACTGGTCATCAGAGTATGTCTGAACATATTTAGGACCAGGATGTTTTCTGACCACTTGACCTGATTAGAAAGCAAAAGCATTAAGTTGCTCTTATACCTAACACTTTACATTAAGTAGATCTTACACCTAACACTTTACATTAAGTTGCTCTTACACCTAACGCTTTATGTTAAGTTGCTCTTATACCTAACACTTTACATTAAGTAGCTCTTATACTTAACACTTTAAGTTAAGTTTCTCTAATACCTAACACTTTACGTTAAGTTGCTCTTATACCTAACACTTTACATTAAGTAGCTGTTATACCTAACACTTTACATTACGTTTCTCTTATACCTAACACTTTACATTAAGTTTCTCTTACACCTAACACTTTACATTAAGTAGCTGTTACACCTAACACTACATTAAGTTGCTCTTATACTTAACACTTTACATTAAGTAGCTCTTATACTTAACACTTTAAGTTAAGTTTCTCTAATACGTAACACTTTACGTTAAGTTGCTCTTATACCTAACACTTTACATTAAGTTTCTCTTACACCTAACACTTTACATTAAGTAGCTCTTATACTTAACACTTTAAGTTAAGTTTCTCTAATACCTAACACTTTACATTAAGTTGCTCTTATACCTAACACTTTACATTAAGTTGCTCTTATACCTAACACTTTACATTAAGTTGATCTTATACCTATATAGTAAGTCTGTAGTTCCGACAATCACAACATGTTGTTACATCCTCATTTAGTAATAGCTGTGTAGTTGTATTGTCAGGTCATGAGGTCAGTGTAAAGTCCTGGTCATCTCTCTCTCCCCTCCCACAATAGACGAGCTGACCTGGTGTACTCCTGGCCTTCCTGGCCCGAGCCTCCCTGATGTCATCAGACTCAAGCTCCACCACCACCCCTCCACACTGGGCTGCATCTGCTCGCAGGGACATCGCCTGTACAGGGACCAAGCCAGGTCAGGTGTCAGAGGTCATACAACTACTGTACAAGAATACAGAAGGGGCCTGTCAACTCAATGGAACTAGTAGAATTAAGAATGGGCCTGCTCAAGTCAATAGTCTTTGTGTAAAGGTCTATGGGTGCATTGCAGAGTCCTAAGGGCATACACTAATAATAGAAAAACACACACTCATTGAACATATTCTTTAGAACACGTGTCAAACTCATTCCACGGAGGGCCGAGTGTCTGCAGGTTTTCGCTCCTCCCTTGTACTTGATTGAGGAATTAAGGTCATTAATTAGTAAGGAACTCCCCTCACCTGGTTGTCTAGGTCTTAATGGAAAGGAAAAAACAAAAACCAGCAGACACTAGGCCCTCCATGGAATGAGTTGACACCCCTGCTTTATAAATTAAATTCCTTATAAACAGCACATCAAATTGAAATGACAGGTTTAAGAAAAGTTTGATTTGTTGACATGAAGTAGAAGGCCACCTTATTAAGCCTCAACCATGTCAAACATGTTCATCAGTTGAAGTCAGTATCTATCAACCATGTCCTCATGTCCACTTATCTCTGGCCATTTCCTCATTCACATACCAGGGGGCCATTCTAGAAAAGACCAACACAAAGGCTAGCTACATGACTTTACTAAAACATGGGAAAAGTCTGGTTACATTTGACAAGATCAGATTATGTTCAGTGACAGACACAGGATGGATTCTGATTCACCAGTGCCACCAGTCTTCACATCTTGCACGTTATTCTAGATCCCAAGTAACTCCTCTTAATGACGTCCTTTTCGTATCTCAGAAACCATCTCATATAAACGTATCTCAGACAAAACATTGTCAAAGAGAAAGTACATCACGCCGCAAATGTTGTTTTTAAGTTGTTTGTGCCTTTGCCCATCTGAAATGAATTCAAATAGTATTTCAGCGTTATTAAACATGATTTGCAGTTCAGATTCTGAGGCCTACATATAAGATGGCTCCCATAGGTCATTAGGTCAAATAATCTGCAGCAGGGTACACATTCTGTTTACCTCAAGTCTGGCAATAACATACTGCACCTCAGGAAGACATTTCACAACACATCAAGCCAAGAACACACATTTTAAACACAACTTAAATCCCTAAATTCAAAGACATTTGAGCATTTCTAGCACTGTGCTTCGATATGCTGCTTCAATGTGCACTAAACTGCAGAGCAAACCAAGACAACAATTCCAATCCTCCATGGGGGAAAAAAAAGATATTAACATTTCTCAAGACATTTCTCAAACGATCCCAACATCACCTTGGCTCTGATGTTAGGGTGAATCCTTGCTGGTGCTCCTTGACGAGTTGTTTTTTGCCATGTGTCCTACATGGGGGATGCTCCTCTTTCCTGAGAGCTGGAATTCAAGCTACAGTAGTCTGAAAGGCTTGATAGAATCAGTGTGTAAAAGTGCAGCATTGTATGAAAGTGCCAGAAAGGCAGAATGAGCAAAGGGAAAACAAAAGCAGCCAGAGTATTCCAAAGCACGTGACGATGAGGGGACAATATCACTGACCACACCACAGAAAGGGTAACCGTGTCACTCGTATGACACATACACACGCCTGCGCATACAGACGAAAACCCACACACAGACACACACGTGCATGTGTGCACACACACACACACTGTACACGCATAAAGAGACCACTTGAGTTCTTACAAAACTGGACCGGTAATAACTTGAAACCATAACAAATGACGCAAAAGTTATTCACAGTATGTAAGTTATACTGAACAGAAATATAAACGCAACATGTAAAAGTCTTGATCTCATGTTTCATGAGCTGAAATAAAAGATCCCAGAAATGTTCTATACGCACAAAAATCTTATTTCTTTCAAATTTTGTGCACAAATTTGTTCACATCCCTGTTAGTGAGCATTTCTCCTTTGCCAAGATAATCCATCAAACTGACAGGTTTGGCATATCAAGAAGCGGATTAAACAGCATGATCATTACACATGTGCACCTTGTACTGGGGGACAATAAAAGGCCACTCTAAAATGTACAATACAATGCCACAGATGTCTCAAGTTTTGAGGGAGCGTGCAATTGGCATGCTGACTGCAGGAATGCCCACCAGAGCTGTTGCCAGATAATTGAATGTTCATTTCTCTACCACAAGCCACCTCCAACGTCATTTTAGAGAATTTGGCAGTACGTCCAACCGGCCTCACAACCGCAGACCACTTGTAACCACGCCAGCCCGGGACCTCCACCTGCGGGATCATCTAAGACCACCCACCCAGACAGCTGATGAAACTGAGGAGTATTTCTGCCTTTAATAAAGCCCTTTTGTAGCAAAAAAGTGGGTGGGCCTATGGCTGCGCCCCTGCCCATTCATGTGAAATCCATAGATTAGGGCCTAATTTATTTATTTAAATTGACTGATTTCCTTATATGAACTGTAACTCCGTAAAGTCGTTGAAATTGTTGCATGTTGTGTTTATATTTTTGTTCAGTATACATGACATTGTTTAGACATATTACAAATTAAACACAACACAAACAAATAATTGCATCATTCATTGTTGGGTGTATTTAGTCTTGATGGTCATGCTATGCTAATCATGCTATGCTAATCATGCTATGCTAATCATGTATGAGCTGATTGGAAGCCCTACTCTTGCCATGTGAGCCACAAAGCAGTGAACACAGGGAGCATACAGTACATTCTTGAACAATTCCTTTTACGTCTGCGTGAGTGGCCAGTAATTGATTAATCCAAGCAAAGATTTTGATCTGAAAGGAAAGCTAATGTGGATATCACAGACCGTTCAGGAAAGCCAATCAATCCTTCTAAGTGAGTTCTGCATCATTAGCCATGGAAATATATTTCTATCTTCATTAGAACAAATACTGGCACATCAAACAGAGGATGTAAGGAGCTTTCCGTATTTAGTTCCGTTCAGTCTGCCTCTGTTTTTCCATATGGATATCACTGTGCAGTGATGAACTTGGCTGGCTACTGGTCCTCTTGCATCAGTCTCACCAATAACAAGCCACATATGCCATACAAATAGCAGGAAGCTGTGGGAGTAAAAAATAGTGCTCAAACACTGTTGAATCATATCAATTGAATAAGGTTTATTTACTTAATATTAACCTATAAATTGTATCAATATCATTGCCCATCTGACCTATGTAGCAAAAAGTAATTATGTTTTGAAAAAGAGAAGGTAATTCAATAATGAAAGATTATGATAGTGAGTGTTGTTTTAATGTACAGTGCAGGTAAAAATTATGACACTGAATTGACCACCAAGTACCCTGTCGGGAATGTGTGTGTGTGTGTGTGTGTATATAGTCTCCCTAGTGGCGCAGTGCTAGCTGTGCCACTAGAGATCCTGGTTCGAATCCAGGCTCTGCTGTAGCCGGCCGCAACCGGGAGACCAATGGGGCGGCGCACAATTGGCCCAGCGTCGTCCAGGGTAGGGGAGGGAATGGCCGGCAGGGAGGTAGCTCAGTTGGTAGAGCATGGCGTTTGCAACGCCAGGGTTGTGGGTTAAATTCCCACGGGGGGCCAGTATGAAAATAAAAAAAAAGAATAATGTATGCACTAACTGTAAGTCGCTCTGGATAAGAGTGTCTGCTAAATGACGTAAATGTAAATGTGTGTGTGTGTGTATCAGAGGGGTTGGGTACAGCAGAATAAAGTATTCTTCTTCACTGTTCTACATGTCTCTGAACTTAAGTGTCATTCTCAAAGGGGGTTGTGATTGCCTCTGTCCATGATCCGTTTCTTCAGGAAGAGGGTGGATCTGTAGAGGGCCACTAGAGGGATGGAGAAACAGGGTAGAGCAGACAGCGCCACACAGATAGCAAACACCCAGCGGGGATAGGGCTGCACCTCAGCCATGGGGAAGTGGACCTATGGAAAGGAGAGGATGTGTTTTACCCAGTTAATCTAAAACTATATATTGTTTGCATCAATTTACTGGATGTAAAATGACTGGATTAAACAATAAGTAATATAATAATTTATTCATATCTGTATCTTGTCCTACTTCAGCCTGAAGTGATGCAACATTGCAACATGAATCAACATGCAACAAAATCTGTCTCTTACATAGTCAGGGTTCCATGCAGTCTAAGTGGGTTGAGTTTCAGCCTAGACTATCACATAAGCCAGGAAGACCACCAGCAGCATCAGAGGGCTGATCACTCTCCACTTGGCCTGCCAGAAAATGTTAGGCCTTCGCCCCGTCATCCGCTCTATGTCATCACTGAGCCTGAGAACATAGAAACATTCTCAGATGAGTTTCAGAAAGAAAAAACAAAGGTTGAGTACTATTTTGTTATCTTTGCACTTGAGATTGAGCTTGTTCACAAGTGAGATAATTTATAGATGGAAAAAATAACAAATGAAGTAGTACTAAGTTGTTTATCCCATAGATGTAAACCACAGCGATTATCTCAAAGAGGCTATGATGAGTAGAGGCAGGGATCCTGCATAGCTGTTGAAGATCTCCAGCCAGTAGTTTCCTGAGCCCATGGTAAAGATCAGCGCGACAGTGAAGGAGGTGAGGCACATCAACCCTAAGAAAACAAACAGACAAATGCATTATTATCCATGACAGTTTTTTAAAAAATGTATATTTAAAGTATTTTCTGACTTTATTAAACAGATAGAGAGAGAGACAGGATGACAGTGGGGAAAGCTAGAGAGAGTTTGTGTCAAAGGGCAGTTTAGACCAGATTTGAACCTATGGCAACACCGGCATTACCGCTAGACCAGCCAGGCCATGACCAGCCAGACCACTACCAGCTAGGCCACCAGATATTAGAATAGCTGGGATCATTGGGTAGAATGTTTTGGAGTCTGTAGGAGCTTGAATGGTATGTCTACAGCCCAGTTAGAGTAGCCAGAAAAATGCATGTTTTTAGACGAGAAGAATCATCTATTTTCACGGAAAGAGTGTAGCATCACAACTCTAAATTCTCTTCATCAGCCTTTGCTAGGCTGAGAACATTGTGTAGAAATTGTTTCAAGTCTGTGAAAGCGTGTGTGGAATGCTAATATCTACCTAGCAACTACTTTGCGCTATTCTGATTGGACAGATGTAATTTCATTGTTGGAGGAGAACAGAAATTAGTTGAACTGATGTATGACTGTAAATGTAGTCAGTTCATCATTAAATCTGCTAAATAATCTCCATCCAGTGTTTGTCTATATAAAGAGTCATCCATCCACCATCATCCATCCACCACCTGTTTAGGAGAGGTGCTGGCTAACGGAGTAGAACACCTGTTTAGGAGAGGTGCTGGCTAGCGGAGTAAAACACCTGTTTAGGAGAGGTGCTGGCTAACAGAGTAGAACACCTGTTTAGGCGAGGTGCTGGGTAGCAGCGTAGAACACCTGTTTAGGCGAGGTGCTGGCTAACAGAGTAGAACACCTGTTTAGGAGAGGTGCTGGCTAACGGAGTAGAACACCTGTTTAAGAGAGGTGCTGGCTAACAGAGTAGAACACCTGTTTAGGAGAGGTGCTGGCTAACAGAGTAGAACACCTGTTTAGGAGAGGTGCTGGCTAACGGAGTAGAACACCTGTTTAGGAGAGGTGCTGGCTAACGGAGTAGAACACCTGTTTAGGAGAGGTGCTGGCTAACGGAGTAGTACACCTGTTTAGGAGAGGTGCTGGCTAACGGAGTAGAACACCTGTTTAGGAGAGGTGCTGGCTAACGGAGTAGAACACCTGTTTAAGAGAGGTGCTGGCTAACAGAGTAGAACACCTGTTTAGGAGAGTTGCTGGCTAACAGAGTAGAACACCTGTTTAGGAGAGGTGCTGGCTAACGGAGTAGAACACCTGTTTAGGAGAGGTGCTGGCTAACGGAGTAGAACACCTGTTTAGGAGAGGTGCTGGCTAACGGAGTAGTACACCTCTTTAGGAGAGGTGCTGGCTAACGGAGTAGAACACCTGTTTAGGAGAGGTGCTGGCTAACAGAGTAGAACACCTGTTTAGGAGAGGTGCTGGCTAACGGAGTAGAACACCTGTTTAAGAGAGGTGCTGGCTAACAGAGTAGAACACCTGTTTAGGAGAGGTGCTGGCTAACAGAGTAGAACACCTGTTTAAGAGAGGTGCTGGCTAACAGAGTAGAACACCTGTTTAGGAGAGGTGCTGGCTAACGGAGTAGAACACCTGTTTAGGAGAGGTGCTGGCTAACGGAGTAGAACACTTGATAAAGAAAAGGAGAGCCTCACACTCAAGGAGCTCAGATGCAATAATTGAATAACCTGATAAACAACGATTCGACAGACAAGCTGTCTTCATCAGGGTATCAGGACACATCCCACTACAACAGCTTCACGTTCACAATTATTCCTGAAGGAAGAAAACATTACAAATGTTTTAGTCACAAACAATTGAGCGATATTTTCAATTGTTTTCCGTTGTTGTTTACATATTGTAGGACAGCCACTGTCATGTGTGATGAATGTAGGTGCTCTTACTTCTGAGGATAGTAACTGGAGAACGCAATGAGGCCTCCAAAGGCCAGTGACAGGGAGAAGAAGATTTGAGTGGCAGCATCCAACCACACCTTAGGATTATTCAGTGTTTCCCACTGCCAAGAGATGAGATTCAAAATAGTTACCGGAAATAACTGATATACTGCAGGACAGTGGCTTTACAATGAGGATGTTTTATTTTGAATTGTTTTCTCCGAATGTTGAGGAGGACCGTTCCTCTCTACCTCCCTGGAGGTGGTAGGCCTAATAAATAAAACATGTTTCCTCCAAATATCAGCCATCAGAACTACACAACGTGTTCATAAGGATGCTGTGTAAAGTTTCTCTCACATTTGAAGTGAACAGATATACCAGGCCATCAATTGCTCCTGGCAGAAAGATGGTTAGCACAAGGTATGGGAATGTGGCTGTCACATACACTGCCTTTACAAAAAAACACAGCAAACAGATACAAAGTCCCAACCTTTCTTGGTAGCATTTAGAAAAGTATACATTCACATTATTGGTGATGAAGAGTATAACTGGTTGATTTATGTCAACATATACAGCGGTAACATTCATTATGTTCCGGAAATGTTGTTCTATAACTTTCCTTTTAGTTATTATTGAGGGGGAGACATCTGTACAAAAAAGATGGTTTCTAGCAGTAAAAAAAACATTGCAACTGTGTGAATGTAGATTTTTCTGTTCACTTCCAAGGCTTTGTGAAGTCCAGACAACTGCTTGCTGACTGCCCATTGGGCCAGCTGCTTGCTGACTGCCCGTTGGGCCAGCTGCTTGCTGACTGCCCGTTGGGCATGCTCTAGGAACCTACCCCTAGACAACCAGCTGTGAATGCTCTAGGAACCTACCCCTAGACAACCAGTTTGAATACACATGGAAGCCCATCAGAAGTTAATGATCCCCTCCTCCCTTCTCCAGACCATCTCCGGTGACCTTCTCCCCTACCTCACCTCGCTGATCAACTCATCCTTGACCGCTGGCCATGTCCCTTCCGTCTTCAAGAGAGCGAGAGTTGCTCCCCTTCTCAAAAAACCAACACTCGACCCCACTGATGTCAACAACTACAGACCAGTATCCCTTCTTTCTTTTCTTTCCAAAACTATTGAGCGTGCCGTCTTTAGCCAACTCTCTTGCTATCTCTCTCAGAATGACCTTCTTGATCCAAACCAATCAGGTTTCAGGACTGGTCATTCAACTGAGACTGCTCTTCTCTGTGTCACGGAGACTCTCCGCACTGCTAAAGCTAACTCTCTCTCCTCTGCTCTTGTCCTTCTAGACCTGTCTGCTGCCTTTGATACTGTGAACCATCAGATCCTCCTCTCCACCCTCTCCGAGATGGGCATCTCCGGCGCGGCTCACTCCTGGATTGCGTCCTACCTGACCGGTCGCTCCTACCAAGTGGCGTGGCGGGAAGCTGTCTCCGCACCACGTGCTCTCACCACTGGTGTCCCCCAGGGATCGGTTCTGGGCCCTCTCCTTTTCTCCCTATACACCAAGTCACTTGGCTTTGTCATATCCTCACATGGTCTCTCCTATCATTGCTACGCTGACGATACACAACTAATCTTCTCCTTTCCCCCTTCTGATAACCAGGTGGCGAATCGCATCTCTGCATGTCTGGCAGACATATCAGTATGGATGACGGATCACCACCTCAAGCTGAACCCTGGCAAGACGGAGCTGCTCTTCCTCCCGGGGAAGGACTGCCCGTTCCATGATCTCGCCATCACGGTTGACAACTCCGCTGTGTCCTCCTCCCAGAGTGCGAAGAGCCTAGGCGTGACCCTGGACAACACCCTGTCGTTCTCCGCCAACATCAAGGCGGTGACCCGCTCCTGCAGGTTCATGCTCTACAACATTCGGAGAGTGCGACCCTGCCTTACACAGGAAGCGGCGCAGGTCCTGGTCCAGGCACTTGTCATCTCCCGTCTGGACTACTGCAACTCGCTGTTGGCTGGGCTCCTTGCCTGTGCCATTAAACCCCTACAACTCATCCAGAATGCCGCAGCCCGTCTGGTGTTCAACCTTCCCAAGTTCTCTCACGTCACCCCCCTCCTCCGCACACTCCACTGGCTTCCAGTTGAAGCTCGCATCCGCTACAAGACCATGGTGCTTGCCTATGGAGCAGTGAGGGGAACGGCACCTCTGTACCTTCAGGCTCTGATCAGTCCCTACACCCAAACGAGGACATTGCGTTCATCCACCTCTGGCCTGCTGGCTCCCCTTCCTCTGCGGAAGCACAGCTCCCGCTCAGCCCAGTCAAAACTGTTCGCTGCTCTGGCACCCCAATGGTGGAACAAGCTCCCTCACGACGCCAGGACAGCGGAGTCACTCACCACCTTCCGGAGACATTTGAAACCCCACCTCTTTAAGGAATACCTGGGATAGGATAAAGTATTCCTTCTAACCCCCCCCAAATTGTAAAGTGGTTATCCCACTGGCTATAGGGTGAACGCACCAATTTGTGAGTCGCTCTGGCTAAGAGCGTCTGCTAAATGACGTTAATGTGCCCTTGAGCAAGGCACTTAACCCTAATTGCTCCTGTAAGTCGCTCTGGTTAAGAGCGTCTGCTAAATGACTAAAATGTAAATGTAAAATGTTAATGGGCCATCAGCAGCCAATGAAGCATGTTAATTTACATCCTGTGAGAAGATCTGTGAGAAGTTTTTGTGCATGCAGGAACAGTCATGTATGCTATTTCTTTTGTTTACATAATAGTGTAGGTTAACAGAAAGAATAAACCATATCGATATCAAACAATCTTGATATAATATTGAATTATTGATATTGGCGCTGTTGGTGAACACGTTTTTGGAGAGGAAGTACAAAACCAACGACGCTAGACAGAGAGGAATTTGCTTTAAGCAAAAAGCAGTTTATTAAAACAGAGATAGCTGGTACTGCTCAAGCTACATGCATGGGCCCTATGCATGGACCCAATCAATTGCCTCTTATGGAGACAGTTGAAAAAAAAGATTAAACAGAGTTTACAGCATACTTTATACAATGTAACACAAAGGAAGGGGTCCTTCTTCTAGTCCCTGATTGGTTCCCGAGGCGTAGGAGGCGGGTCTGCTCTGTCCAGAGTAGAAGCCCCATTGGTGCACGGCAGAGTCCTCTGCCCTTGGCACCCGACCAGTAGAGGGGGGGGTTGAGAATGAGTGTGCGTCCACATTGAGATGTCTGTGTGTGTCCAGGGAACTCCTGAGGAGTATCTGTTGTTTATGGCCGGAGGTGGGGGTGTTGTCTATTATCACATTCCTAGGCCATTTGGTGATAAGATAAGGTTTTCTCTGTCCTTTTGTTCTCTGACCTTTTGCTCTTTGACCTGGCACAGCATTTATTGAAAACAGGCTCCAACTGGGTCTTCCAGAACATTTTAGTCAGACCAATCTATAACAAATTATATTTACTACGACAGCGCCCAGCACTAGTTTCTAGGAAATGTCAGAGATGATAACAAACCTTTCCAGTGGTCTCAATGCCACAAATAAAGCAGACATAGACGATACACCAATCTGTGGCCAGGCACATCACCAGCCACCAATCTGTGGCCAGGCACATCACCAGCCACCAATCTGTGGCCAGGCACATCACCAGCCACCAATCGGTGGCCAGGCACATCACCAGCCACCAATCTGTGGCCAGGCACATCACCAGCCACCAATCTGTGGCCAGGCACATCACCAGCCACCAATCTGTGGCCAGGCACATCACCAGCCACAATTGCAAGGACCCGCTGGTCTCAATATTGGGTGTTATGTTCAGTGTTTTCCAATACCAAAAGTAGTTCACTGCGGTGCTCTTCTCACATTCGCTCACATAACCTGCATAATCAAAGTGACAGAAATGGCTATAAAGATGTTTTAGAAAGTCATTTTGCATACATATGGTTTTTGGCTAGCTGTAAGAGATTCTGAATCAATACATTAGATACAGTATAAATATTGTATGATAAATATTATTGTTTTCTAAGTCAATGTTGTGTAGTTCTAAAATATATAATTGGAATGGTAATTGATTATCTACCTAGCAACTACGTGCTCTATTCTGATTGGTCAGATGTTGGTTAATTGTTGGAAGGGAACAGGAAGTAGTTGAGTTAATGTATGGCTGTGAATGTGGTTAGTTCATTATTAAATCTGCAAAATAGTAATCGGTCTCCATCCAGTGTTTGTCTACAATAAAGAGTCTTAAGTCCACTTTCTAAAGAACCCTCAAACTACGATAACTATTGAATGGCTGAAAAATATTGATTTGAATGGTCATCCATCCACTTTCTAAAGAACCCTCAAACAAAAATTACTTGATAACTATTGAATGGCTGAAAAATATTGACTTGAACAGAGTATTAAATACCTGTGAGGTTTTGGTTAACAGGACAGTCCCTCCAGGGTAGTGGATTTTGGAACGAGTGGAAGAAGTGCCAGAGGACCCAGGCCAGTTTGGTGTTGTAGAACAGCCCCACCAGGAAGCACACTATCATGGAGGCCACACCTGTGCACAGAGATAGTCCATGATTCAGACCCCCAGGCCAGCAGAACCTCTGTCTCCACTGAAGCCCACAAGGTGAGTGGCAACAATTCAATGGGAAAGAAGGGAAGTTAAATTCTCAGCATGAAAAGTAGATGATTGTAACTAGGGTTGCAAAATTCGAGTACATTTAGAAAATTCCCAGGTTTTCCAGAAATCTCGGTTGGAAGATTGCTTATTAATGAATTTTGCATCCATGAAACCTATAAAAGACAATTTCTCAGATATTTCCAACAAAACATCACATTTCCAAACTGTTAGACAGTAACAGTACACATGGAATTATTACACATGTAACTATTTCAGATCTGGATTTCCTTGATGCCAAACCAGCCCACCTACTCCTCCTAGATAGGGTGTGATTGAGTTCCAAACTCCAATGCTTCCCATACGGAGCCTCTGTCCAATGGCCAGCTCCAAATGCAGCAGGTGTGCCCAGTTGGATCTCTAGCCTTGAACATTGGTGTTATGACAGCAGATTTCCAGTCATCAGGGAACACTGCTTGTTTAATTGTTATATTTACCAGATGAGTCACTGTATATGATCGGTCTTATCTTGACAGTCTAGATTACAGTACTGAGACACGCGAGAAGGGTTTTGGATTTATTTTAGGGATATTACTGTAGATCAAGTTTCAAGTTTTAATGTCACATGCACAAGTACAGTGAAATGCCTTTATTGCAAGCTCTAAACCCAACAATGCAGTGATCAACATCAATGTAGTACTAAAAAATAACAAGGTAGAACAAAAACACGAGAAATAAAAATAAGAAATAAGAACACAAGAAAGTAAGAAGCTATATACAGGTTCAGTTCCAATATCATAGGTAATATGTACATGTGGGTAGAGTTAAAGTTACTATGCATAGATAATAAACAGAGTAGCAGCAGTGTAAAAGAGGGGGGGGGGGGCAATGCAAATAGTCCAGATAGCCATGATTAGCTGTTCAGGAGTCTTATGGCTTGGGGGTTGAAGCTGTTAAGAAGCCTTTTGGACGTAGACTTGGTGCTCCGCTACTGCTTGCCATGTGGTAGCAGAGAGAACAGTCTATGACTAGGGTGGCTGGAGTCTTTGACAATTTTTAGGGCCTTCCTCTGACACCGCCTGGTATAGAGGTCCTGGATGGCAGGAAGCTTGGCCCCAGTGATGTACTGGGCCGTACGCACTACCCTCTGTAGTACCTTGCGGTTGGAGGCCGAGCAGTTGCCATACCAGGCGGTGATGCAACCAGTCAGGATGCTCTCGATGGTGCAACTCTATAACTTTTTGAGGATCTGAGGACCCATGCCAAATCTTTTCAGTCTCCTGAGGGGGAATAGGTTTTGTCGTGCCATCTTCACGACTGTCTTGGTGTGTTTGGACCATGATAGTTTGTTGGTGCTATCGGAAGAATCCCGGAACATATTCCAGTCTGTGCTAACAAAACAGTCCTGTAGCTTAGCATCTGCATCATCTGACCACTTCCTTATTAACCGAGTCACTGGTGCTTCCTGCTTTAGTTTTTGCTTATAAGTAGGAATCAGGAGGATAGAGTTATGGTCAGATTTGCCAAATGGAGGGCGAGGGAGAGCTTTGTACGTGTCTCTGAGTGTGGAGTAAAGGTGGTCTAGAGTTTTTTTTCCTCTGGTTGCACATTTAACGTGCTGGTAGAAATTAGGTCGAACGGATTTAAGTTTCCCTTCGTTAAAGTCCCCGGCCACTAGGAGCGCTGCCTCTGGTTAAGCGTTTTCCTGTTTACTTATGGCCTTATACAGCTCATTGAGTGCAATCTTAGTGCCAGCATCGGTTTGTGGTGGTAAATAGACAGCTACGAAAAATATAGATGAAAACTCTCTTGGTAAATAGTGTGGTCTACAGCTTATCATAAGATACTCTACATCAGGCGAGAAAAACCTTGAGACTTCCTTAGTATTAGATTTTATGCACCAGCTGTTGTTTACAAATATACACAGACCGCCACCCCTTGTCTTACCGGAGTCAGTCGTTCTATTCTGCCAATGTAGCGTATATCCCGCCAGCTGTATGTTATCCATGTCGTCGTTCAGCCACGACTCGGTGAAACATAAGATATTACAGTTTTTAATGTCCCGTTGGTAGGATAACCTTAATCTTAGGTCGTCCAATTTATTTTCAAATGATTGAACATTGGCTAATAGGATTGATGGAGAGGCAGTTTACTCGCTCGCCGTCAGATCCTTACAAGGCACCCCGACCTACGTCCACGATATCTCTGTCTCCTTCTCATGCGAATGGCTGGGATTTGGGCCTTGTCGGGTGTCTGTAGAATATCCTTCGCGTCCGACTCGTTGAAGAAAAAATCTTCGTCCAATACAAGGTGAGTAATTGCTGTCCTGATATCCAGAAGCTCTTTTTGGTCATAAGAGACGGTGGCAGAAACATTATGTACAGAATAAATGACAAATAACGCGACAAAACACAAATAATAGTACAATTGGTTAGAGGGCTGTAAAACGGCAGCCATCTTCCCCGGCGCCATCTTGAGTTAAGACAGTTTTGATGGTCTCTGTTTTGTTTTTTAAATCCCAAATATTTTATGGTCTTGAATTTGACTCGTCTTGCTCTGGTCTTGATTTGGACTTGAATAGCTTTGGTCTCAGCTACAACACTGTTCTGCTCACCACTAATAGAAACATAAATACACTGTAGTGTTCTTCTAGACATCATACTGTAGATGAAGGACTGTTACCTCCTCCATAGATCTGACACAAGTAAGGGAATCTCCAGACATTACCCAGACCCACAGCAAAACCTATACAAGTCAGCAGACCTTGTTGTCCCACTTGGGCTGTTCGCTGCTGTCCTTAATATCCTTAGTAGCCTCATCAACCGCACTCATCTCATTACTATCCATCTCCTCATCAATGAAGATGACTTTAGAGTTGTTTGTAGTATTCTATCCATCGTCAGTGGCACACAAATAGTAGTGGTGTAGCAGTGGTACCTTGCCTGTTACAGTGCATTCGGAAAGTATTCAGACCCCTTGACCTTTCCCACATTTTGTAACGTTACTTTCACAGTATTTTTGAGAATGACTTGAATGTTCTGTTGTTTTGCATGAGTTGAGTACGGAAGTTCATTCATATTGACCTGTGGAGATTCTCACTTCAGTAACTGTGTTGTATCCTGTTATACCCTGCTTTTATATTGTGTCTTTAACTACCTAATGTTCCAACTTATTTAGTCTAGTAAATAAAACATTAAATTAATTATTTGTGGCATTGAGTTAATTTGCGAGTGATTGGGTTCTTGAGGTTCCAGAGCTCGACAACTGTTCAGAATGAGAATATAGTAAAAGTGATTATATTGTTGATAGTATTAACATTATAACGGTTAATGATAACTACTGATAGAGTTAATTCAAGGGTCTCTCTATATCCAACCCTTAATGGTGCCCCTCTTAGATTAATTTGAATAGGATAACCAGATTAATCAAATAAATCAGATCAATTAATTATTCCAGTAATTAATCAGTAAATTATCTTGAATATGAATTAGCTCAAAGTTGCAAGACCAGTACTACACACTGAATGGTAATCCCCTAGGACTATACTATAACAAGACCAGTACTACACACTGAATGGTAATCCCCTAGGACTATACTATAACAAGACCAGTACTACACACTGAATGGTAATCCCCTAGGACTATACTATAACAAGACCAGTACTACACACTGAATGGTAATCCCCTAGGACTATACTATAACAAGAACATAACAAGAACAAGGGATATAATTTAGTTCAATGTTGACCTTTCAGCACAATAATTACAACAACGTGTCAATCAATGTAAGATTTAATGGCTTTCCTGCCGTACCTCGTTCCATACAACCTTGGAGTGTAAAACGTAATTAGTGAAAGCAGTATCAAACATATCTACTCCTTTTAGCTCTCAGTGGCCTGAAGTAAACAAATGGAGGCCTGTGATAAAAACAACAAAGGGACTTCACAGTGATCTGATCTGATCAATATCTCCCATCTGCTGTCTCTGGGATCTCTGGTTTGTTCTTGGTAGCCTCATCCATCAGGTGAACTTGTTTGGCAATAGTGTTTAAGTCATCTTGTTTAAACTCATTATCCTTCTTGCAGCAGCGGTTCCGCAAACATTTGTAAACAGCCGTTAGAGGTACAGCAAGACCTGGGACTCCTGCCAGGATGAAGATTATAGCAAAGATCCAGGCTGGATATTCCTTCTCCTCTAATGTAGGGAAGTTGTCCTGTGAAGAAACAGTAATAAGCTTGTTAGTGTGTTTATAGCCTACTGATGCCACTGTGTAGTGAGTTCCTTTCATACACCAAATAGAGAACATGTGAATACAGGTTGATTTACTATTACTAAGTGAAAGTCTCCTCATTTCATAACTAATTTGGCCACTGACAACAAAGTGAAACCTTACCGATTCAGGATTCCAGGCTTTGTACATGGGTGTTTCTTGGACTTTAGTGATGAAGTAGAACACAAAGATGACAAACATGATGGCGGGGCTGACAAATCTCCATGTAATCTGCCAAAAGAGGTTGGGCTTGTGGCCGATCATGAACTCAATGTCATCGTTGAACCTGTTAGAATAACATACATAGTCAACATCCCTTTGCAAGTTCCCAGACTCCAATGAATGAATGGCAAATGTAAGGACCATGTTAATCAACAGAATGTTGTTTCAAAACTAACCTGTCAATGCCATAGAGTAACTTAACCTCCACAGAATGAATGTATTACTCACCGATCAATACCATAGAGGTACACAACCCCGACCATCTCACAGAATGCAATGATCAGTAAAGGAATGGACCCGCCATAGCTGTCAAAGAGGGACAGCCAGTAGTTCCCTGAGCCTTGGACAAATATCAGTCCAACAAAGCAGCAGACGACACATGTTATCCCTGTAAAAGAAGAAGAAGAAGAAGAAGAAGAAGAAGAAGAAGAAGAAGAAGAAGAAGAAGAAGAAGAAGAAGAAGAAGAAGAAGAAATACATATATTTAACAAAGGGATCTCCATCCTTTAAAATGGTGTAAGGGACGTTTTTGTCTCATCTCACCAGCGATGGCTTCTTTGGGCCAACTCTTGGGGAAAACCCCCAGGTCCTGAAGTGGTACCAGAACTCCTTCGATATTGCCAAACATGGAGGACAGGCCCAGACAGAACAGCATGATGAAGAACAAGACTGACCAAACAGGAGATACAGGCATCTTAGTGATGGCCTCTGTGAACACAATAAAGGCTAGACCAGTTCCTTCAACCCCCTGTACCAAGACAAGGAGAGAATGAATCAGAAGCCTAGCAACTGAGATATATTTAATTATCCTATACTCCACTTGTGTTGTATCCATCTCACCAAACCTTATACAAATATTGGTAACACTTTACATTCAGGGACCCTTTTATAAAAATTAATGAATCACCTCACTAAGGAAAGTGTTTAAGTCACAGGTCTTCAAGTTGAGCCCCTGAATGACTTCTGGATATGTTCCATTGAGACTATGAAGAACCTGATCATAGTTGCTTTCAGTGACGTTGCCCTCAGGGAGATCAAATGTATTGAGCAGTGTCAGGATATTTCTGCAAATGAACAATGAGAAAACGTTTATTTAGAGGGTAGTTCATATCGTCATGCAACGACTCTAGTTGAAGTCTAGTATAGGTACATACCCAGTAATACAGTCGTCAAACTTCTCTGTGGCTCTGAAGCCAATGATGGTGTAAATGACTGTTGCGGCGTAGACAGCAGTGGCTCCATTGACAATGGAGATGATGACTGCATCCTGTTCACAGTTGTTACTGGAGAGATACAAAACATTAAAGGAGCTATCTGGAATTGGTCAATCGTTTTTTTTAACCTATTGGTTCTTGACGTATATAACTTAGAAATGCCTCTTGAGTTTAGTTCAACTGTCGTACCCCCATCAGAATCCAGCCATAAGGGTTGAATCTAAACTAGATATGTTGCAGCATCACTTTAACTTTTGCATAGATCTTGGCTGCATTAACGTAAATGAAATATTTTATGATGAAAGTTACGCTTGCTCACTTCGAGTTAGGTAGGACTGGGTCTTAAGTTTGCAGTGGTTATGTACAAGTTATGATACGACTTGAATTGATTTAATGTCTCAACTGTGTTGTAAACAACAAGTCATTTAGTAGTTATTAGCAAGCCGTATGGACTTACTGCACAGAGTTGTAGCTGGAGAAAGACAGAAGACCTCCAAAGGCCAAAGAGAATGAATAGAACACCTGGGCACCCGCATCAAGCCAAGTAGATGGGTTCATTAGTTCATTCATCTGGGGAAACACACACCCAGAGAAATGTTGTTAGGCGTGTCGTTTTAATTCTATCTTACTACAACATAAATTAACGGTAGCTAAAAGGCCTTAGATGCACTCTTTGTGGATCTGTATCTGTGGCTGAACTTGGAATATCATATACTTTGAAGAAATACTTTTGTTCGATGACGGGATAGTAATTGAAACTACTCACGTCTGGGGTGAAGAGGAACTTCACTCCATTCAAAGAGCCTTTCAAGGTCAATCCTCTGATCAGAAAGATGGTCAGCACCACATAGGGTAATGTTGAGGTGATATACACAGCCTAATGGGAGGAGACTACAGGGTAATGTTGAGGTGATATACACAACCTAATGGGAGGAGACTACAGGGTAATGTTGAGGTGATATACACAACCTAATGGGAGGAGACTACAGGGTAATGTTGAGGTGATATACACAACCTAATGGGAGGAGACTACAGGGTAATGTTGAGGTGATATACACAACCTAATGGGAGGAGACTACAGGGTAATGTTGAGGTGATATACACAACCTAATGGGAGGAGACTACAGGGTAATGTTGAGGTGATATACACAACCTAATGGGAGGAACCACAGGGTAATGTAGAGGTGATATACACAACCTAATGGGAAGATACTACAGGGTAATGTTGAAGTGATATTCACAGCCTAATGGGAGGAGACTACAGGATAATGTTGAGGTGATATTCACAGCCTAATGGGAGGAGGGAGGAATGCTGTTATGAAGTTGGACAATTACTGTTTGGTGTACTATTATAGCAAATATACCAACATGGACTTATTAGTATATGTCAAAATAGTGACATATAACTGCTGTTAATATGTTACACAAGCTGCCATTTAGTTAAATATATGTCACTATGGATACATAAAATAATGACATTTTACCATTGCAGTTTAATGTCACAGAAGCTGAGATATACAGTGGGGAAAAAAAGTATTTAGTCAACCACCAATTGTGCAAGTTCTCCCACTTAAAAAGATGAGAGAGGCCTGTAATTTTCATCATAGGTACACATCAACTATGTCAGACAAAATGAGAAAAAAAAATCCAGAAAATCACATTGTAGGATTTGTAATGAATTTTTTTGCAAATTATGGTGGAAAATAAGTATTTGGTCAATAACAAAAGTTTCTCAATACTTTGTTATATACCCTTTGTTGACAATGACACAGGTCAAACGTTTTCTGTAAGTCTTCACAAGGTTTTCACACACTGTTGCTGGTATTTTGGCCCATTCCTCCATGCAGATCTCCTCTAGAGCAGTGATGTTTTGGGGCTGTCGCTGGGCAACACAGACTTTCAACTCTCTCCAAAGATTTTCTATGGGGTTGAGATCTGGAGACTGGCTAGGCCACTCCAGGACCTTGAAATGCTTCTTACGAAGCCACTCCTTCGTTGCCCGGGTGGTGTGTTTGGGATCATTGTCATGCTGAAAGACCCAGCCACGTTTCATCTTCAATGCCCTTGCTGATGGAAGGAGGTTTTCACTCAAAATCTCACGACACATGGCCCCATTCATTCTTTCCTTTACACGGATCAGTCGTCCTGGTCCCTTTGCAGAAAAACAGCCCCAAAGCATGAAGTTTCCACCCCCATGCTTCACAGTAGGTATGGTGTTCTTTGGATGCAACTCAGCATTCTTTGTCCTCCAAACACGACGAGTTGAGTTTTTACCAAAAAGTTATATTTTGGTTTCATCTGACCATTTGACATTCTCCCAATCCTCTTCTGGATCATCCAAATGCACTCTAGCAAACTTCAGATGGGCCTGGACAAGCAGGGGGACACGTCTGGCAGTGCAGGATTTGAGTCCCTGGCGGCGTAGTGTGTTACTGATGGTAGGCTTTGTTACTTTGGTCCCAGCTCTCTGCAGGTCATTCACTAGGTCCCCCTGTGTGGTTCTGGGATTTTTGCTCAACGTTCTTGTGATCATTTTGACCCCACGGGGTGAGATCTTGCGTGGAGCCCCAGATCGAGGGAGATTATCAGTGGTCTTGTATGTCTTCCATTTCCTAATAATTGCTCCCACAGTTGATTTCTTCAAACCAAGCTGCTTACCTATTGCAGATTCAGTCTTCCCAGCCTGGTGCAGGTCTACAATTTTGTTTATGGTGTCCTTTGACAGCTCTTTGGTCTTGGCCATAGTGGAGTTTGGAGTGTGACTGTTTGAGGTTGTGGACAGGTGTCTTTTATACTGATAACAAGTTCAAACAGGTGCCATTAATACAGGTAACGAGTGGAGGACAGAGGAGCCTCTTAAAGAAGAAGTTACAGGTCTGTGAGAGCCAGAAATCTTGCTTGTTTGTAGGTGACCAAATACTTATTTTCCACCATAATTTGCAAATAAATTCATAAAAAATCCTACAATGTGATTTTCTGGATTTTCTTTTCTGAATTTGTCTGTCATAGTTGACGTGTACCTATGATGAAAATTACAGGCCTCTCTCATCTTTTTAAGTGGGAGAACTTGCACAATTGGTGGCTGACTAAATACTTTTTTTCCCCACTGTATGAGTTACAGTATATGTCATTAGGGTGATATACTACTGATATGTCATTAGGGTGATATACTACTGATATGTCACTAGGGTGATATACTACTGATATGTCATTAGGGTGATATACTACTGACATGTCACTAGGGTGAATTACTACTGATATGTCATTAGGGTGATATACTACAGATATGTCACTAGGGTGATATACTACAGATATGTCACTAGGGTGATATACTACAGATATGTCACTAGGGTGATATACTACAGATATGTCACTAGGGTGATATACTACTGATATGTCACCATGGCAGACCTGGGATAACTATAGTTTTAACTATGCTTTGTGGAAAGTAAAACTAATTCTGGGGTAACAAATAGTTAGCTCAATTGGTAGAGCATGGTGCTTGTAACGCAAGGGTAGAGGGTTCGATCCCCGGGACCACCCATACGTAAAAATCTATGACTGTAAGTCGCTTTGGATAAAAGCGTCTGCTAAATGGCATATTATTATATTATATTATTATTACTTTGGGGGTGACTACAATTATTTGAATACAGATCACCAAAAATTGCTTTTTTTTCCTATTTGAATACAGATCTCAGAAAGTGACTACTTTTCTAAACTATTTGAATACAGGTCTCAGAAAGTATTTATTTTTTTTTATATTTGAATACAGATCTCAGGAAGTAACTACTTTTCAAAACTATTTGAATACAGATCTCAGGAAGTGACTACGTTTCTGAAACTATTGGATTGGCTGCCTTCAACTAATGGCAGGGCTGTATCTAGAACTGCATGTTGAAGATAGAAATATAATGAATAGAGCACACACAATGCCCTATACTATTCCAATTTATCTGACAGTCATATATTTGATCTACACAATACATTTCTATCTGAACATTTTGTAAATGTACATTCTCCTGAATTTCCATTGCTCCATTGCTCCAAGTGCACATAATAAAGTCAAACCAATTAACCAGAGAAGTATAAATAAGTTGTGACGCTCAACTACTGTATGACTCTTTCAACATGCCACTGAAAAGGTCGAAAGCTGTATTTAATTGTATGATACCTGAAAATACTGCACAGTAATTCAAAGCTATTTGCAAACATTGCTAACCGCAAGTTGAATGCTTAGCAAAAACTACTTCTAACCTCTTTGTCCATCTGAGGGTAAGTGTTCTTGTTTCAAACACACACTATACCATGTTTAAAGGGATAGTTTACTCAGAATACAAACTAACATGATTTTCCACCTACCTTGGCTGTAGTTGGGACATTTAGTTTCCCTTCGACACTTAATGGCCATATTTTGTTACAGTTAGCTTTCTCAGTAACACTTAACATTAAACAGTTATTGTACCTGTGTAATAAACTTTAATTACTTTTGGAGCAACATTTTATTAGCATGTTGTTACATGATACTTTGTCAATTGCATTTTAATCGCATAGCGATGGCCTGAGTGTTTTTGTAACTACTGTACACAAGAGGAATAGTGACTGTTCCTTATTCTGCTTATGCAATAACTCCATTATTATTCAATTATAAAGCAATTGCCAAAGTCCTATGTAACAACAATGTTGTTGTTGTAATAATGACAAAGTTACTACACATGTTTAAGAACTTAATGTCATGTGTTACTGTATTACCTTGTGTCTCACTCATTATGAAAATATATTTGTTAGTTTAAAGCTGTAAAAGTGGTTTACTCTAATGCTGAGGTGATTCCATGTCCCTCATGTATTTAATTATAGGTTGTAGGCTATATTAAGATTAATATCTAAGAGCCCTCCAAACCATGTGCTTATAATAAAATATTTTGACTAATTCAACTATCTGTTTTATTTTTTGGTTCTTCATCAAATATTTGACAGCCATATATTCCAATATCTTCAAAAATTATTTGGTTTTCTGAGAGGTATTCAAAATACTTCCATATATATATATATATATATATATATATATATTCGACTACCTCGAGTATTTGAAAAGTTGGTATTTTCAAATAAACTACAAACTACAACAATTTTCTGCCCAGGTTTGCACAATGGTGACATACACTGTATAGACAATATATAATACAATATGCAATACAAATATATAAAATACGTTAAAATTAGAAAGTGAACACTGTCTACAACTGTTTACACTGTCAAATTGGTGTCAGAAAGGTCAACAAGGCTGTTATTAAAAACAGCTAGGTCATTTGAGTGTTATGGTAACATGCTTTATTGTATCAATATATAGTCAAACCAATCATTCTGTAATTTCTTGTATATGGCTATAATATCATAAAAAGGAAACCTTGATTTAGTGCTTTATAACCAAATGCCTATAAACATAACCTTGATAACTTTGACATTGACAGCTGCTGCTGCTAAAGTGATTTGCTGTCCAGAGGTTATGCCGTACCTTCCCAGTAGTCTCAATGCCTCGACTTATGCAGAGAAACAGCAACGCCCAGGCAGACACATGGCATAGGACCATCCACCACTGTAGCCCACCTGTGTTATCTATGTCTGGGGTGGTGTTCAGGGTCTCTCTGTACCAATAGTAATCCACTGGAGAGCTTCTCTCACACTCTGACACCAGGCCTGGGTAAAGTTCATTTCATTCATTCACATGGCACAATACAATAGAATTAAGCAATTGAAGGCAGAGTTACAGGTAACGGAATAAGGGTGTGTGTATAAAGTGAATAATTTTCCATCATCATAGCTTAGCAAACAAAAAAATATTTCTCCCTGCCGTCCATGGAGACCTTACCTGTCATGTTGGCATTGACTGGACATTGGCTCCAAGGCAGCGGTTCTTGGAAGGAGTTAAAGAAGTACCACATCACCCAGGCCATGATGGTGTTGTAGTACAGGCTGACCAGAAAGGACACACACATGGATCCAATGCCTATGGAACAAAACACAACACCGTGCCCCAATGAGATTTGGTCTATTTTTGCCCATGTCTAAATTCCTATGGAGTGTTTTGCTTACCAATGCCAGTCAAGTATGGATGGATGGCAGACCAGACACCTACACTGCCTTTCCTTAGACGTTGACCAATAGCAAACTCCAGATGGAGCAGGGGAACACCTTCTAGAACCAGTAGGATCAGGAAAGGAATCATAAATGCACCTGAGAACAGACCAAGAAGCAGGGTGGAGGAGATGTTCCCTGTTGCTGTTCTATGTACAGTACATAAAAAACAGTGGTCAGTCTAAAATGAACACAGGGTTGCAAAGTTACGGTAACTTTCCCCAAATTTCCAGATTTCCTGCTTATTCCCTTCTGTATTCAGGGGATCTTCCAACCCGGGATTTCTGGAAAACCCGTGAATTATGGGAAAGTTACCGGTATTCTGCAACACTACTCCCCAACAACACCTACCTCCCCCATGGCTCTGGCAAAGGTAAGGGAAGCGCCAGACGTTCCCCAGTCCCACACAGAAACCTACGATAGTCAGCATATACTGGGCCTTGTTGTCCCATTTGGGCCTGTCCCCAGCCTCCTCATTCTCCAGCTTGTCCAGTTCCTCATAGGACGGGATCCTGTCTTCCAGGTCTTGGTTGGATACCTGTAAACACCTCATGGTTCCTCCGACGCAGATGGACAGGCTCAAATCAATTGGAAAGTATTACTACTTTCTATGGAGTCCAATGTATGTGTAATCTGTCCACAGTTCAAAGGAGGCTATTTATAAGGGCAAACTGTTCCTGATTATAATCAATGTCTTATCCAGTAGGGATGATGGATTTGAGGCACATGGGCCTCTTGCTAGTACACCCTGGGAATCTATAGTCATTAGCCTCTGATAATGATCTTTATGACTCTTATATGAGTAACATGAAATCCAATGAAGGTCCAACATTCAACATTGTTATTTGTATCCAATATACTGTAGGGTTCTACTTTGTAGAGTATAAATAACTCCAATTAGATGGTGGTTGTAATGGTAAGGGTCATTATGTTATTGTTGGTTACTGTATTTGTGTTATTCATGTAGATTCTCTGTATTCATATATGGCATAAGAATTATTATAAACTGGGTGGTTCGAGCCCTGAATGCTGATTGGCTCAAATGACAGAACATTGCTTTTTACAGCGTCTCATCGTGCCTAAGAACAGCACTTAGCCGTCGAATATTGACCAAATACCAGACCCCCTCGGGCCTTATTGCTAAAATATACCATCTATACACTTATCTCCAGTGGGCAGCCTCCCAACTCACCCTCGTGGACTCTGTACAGCACATCCATGGTCAGACCAGTCACTACCATCTATTGGCTCTCAGGCCTGACAGCAGTAAACATTTATATTGAAATGACATCATATTAGAGTCAATCGTGCCATCAACCCCATCAAACAAGTTTAAATGTATTAGGAAAGATTTAGTTGGAGGATGGGCATGCTACCCTTTTAGAAACAACAACCTGAACTTAAACCCTCATAAGCGCAGGCTAATACAGAGTAGCAGAAACAGATTTATATAAAAGACTACAGCATGACATAATAAGAACTATATTTGAAGAGGAGTAATTCATGACTTCAGTTAAATAGCTAACTCTGCCCTCTAGTGCTGCAAAATGAAACTATGCCCTCAGAATAGCCTCAATTCGTCGGGGCATGGACTCCTACAAGGTGTCAAAAGCATTCCACATGGATGCTCGCCCATGTTGACTCCAATGCTTCCCACAGTTGTGTCAAGTTGGCTGGATGTCCTTTGGGTGTTGGACCATTCTTGATACACAGGGGAAACTGTTGAGCATGAAAAACCCAGCAGCGTTGCAGTTCTTGACTCAAACCGGTGTGCCTGGCACCTATTACCATACCCCGTTCAAAGGCACTTAAATATTTTTTCTTGCCCAGTCACCCTCTGAATGGCACACATACACAATCCATGTCTCAATTGTCTCAAGGCATAGAAATCATTCTTTAACCTGTCACCTCCCCTTCATCTACACAGATTGAAGTGGATTTAACAAGTGACATTAATAAGGGATCATATCTTTCACCTGGATTCACCTGGTCAGTCTATGTCATGGAAAGAGCAGGTGTTCTTAATGTTTTGTACACTCAGTGTATATTAAGTATTATGTTTACCAATAGATGGCAGTATTGACTCAATATGGAGTTTGCTTCCCGCTATCCGTAGCCCTTTAATGTCTGCCATATAACCTCAAGAGGCCTCAGGTAGCTTACGCCAGCTAGCTAATTTTCCCCCAACATCGGACCCCCGTACCAGCGCTGCAAGGACATGCACTATGTGGTGGAAGGGTTTAAGAAGTGTGGCCTCTTCCTTTTGACCCTTCAGCCATTGAAGGGTCCCGTTTAATGCCGTCTCGGTCCCTTCCGGGTCCCACCACCGCCTCTCCTGGAACCAGCAGCACTGTGCCTTCCATCAGCACCTCCTCCCCAGTGACCACAGGAGGACCCTCAGCCCCTTCTCCAGTCCAAGCCCCTGCTCCAGTCCCAGCCCTAGCTCTAGAAGAGCACCCCCTAATAGAGGGGAGGCTGATAGCGAAGGACCTGGGGCACATCCTTACTGTCCTTAAGTATCGGCTAGATCGATACAGAAGACTCCCTGTGGTCGCCACATGCCTCACCGGGGAGGAATACACGCGCCAGTGGCAGGAGAGGGGTGAGAAGGAGAGGGACCAGTGTGCAACACCTGTAGGAGCTGCCGGAGTCCCCAGCTGCAGAAGAAGGCTACATGCCTACTCTCCCGGCCACACCATCGTTGGCCCCTCAACCCCACCATTACAAACACCAGCTCCTCCAAGCCATCGTCTGCGGTTTTGTCCACCACCACCACAATGCACACCACCCCCCCTGTCTGTCACCACCAACACGGCCTTCTCTGGACCTACTGCCTCCTCCGTCTCCCCTGGTCATACCACCATAGCAACCTCGTCTGGTGTCCCTGCCCCCTGCAATTTGAATACAGCCACCTCCATGTTAAATTACAAAAAAATTACTGTTATCTGTTTTATAAAACAGCAATGTAAAAAAAAAAAGAAATCACTCTTTACATATCTACAGTCCATAGCACCAGCCCTCAAGTCATCTCCACCTCCTCCAAAACCTCTGCAGCTTCCTCCAGAGGTATTGATGTAAAAAAGTTGAAAAGGGTTTTGATGAAACATGCTCAGTCTAACACTACTTTTTCTCAAACTGCAGCACAGAAAAGGAAGAGAAAAGCTCCACCGGTCACGTCTGTCACGCCTCCCATGGCACTATTCTCAGGTACTTCTTAATGGATTTTTCTCGCTCTCAGTTGTATCAATTACTATTGTTGTTGAAGAACTTCTACATTTTGCAAAACCATATTAATCAATTTTCATTATTATTTTGTTTTTTACAAAAGAAGACACCACCTGCTGTGCAGAAAATGCAGCCCAAATGTATGCTTCGTAGAGTTAAAGTAACAGACACATCTCAACATCAACTGTTCAGAGGGGACTGTGTAAATCAGGCCTTCATGGTCAAATTGCTGCAAAGAAACCACTACAAAAGGACACGAATATGAAGAAGAGACCTGCTTGGGCCAAGAAACACGAGCAATGGACATTAGACCGGTGGAAATTTGTCTTTTGGTCTGGAGTCCAAATTGGAGATTTTTGGTTCCAACCGCCGTGTCTTTGTGAGACGTGGTGTGGGTGAATGGATAATCTCTGCATGTGTATTTCCCACCGTAAAGCATGGAGGAGGAGGTATTATGGTGTGGGGGTGCTTTGCTGGTGACACTGTCTGTGATTTATTTAGAATTCAAGGCACACTTGACCAGCATGGCTACCACAGCATTCTGCAGCAATACGCCATCCCATCTGGTTTGGGCTTAGTGGGACTATCATTTGTTTTTCAACAGGACAATGACCCAACACACCTCCAGGCTGTGTAAGGGCTATTTTACCAAGAAGGAGAGTGATGGAGTGCTGCATCAGATGACCTGGCCTCCACAATCCCCCGACCTCAACCCAATTGAAATGGTTTGGGATTAGTTTGACCGCAGAGTGAAGGAAAAGCAGCCAACAAGTGCTCAGCATATGTGGGAACTCCTTCAAGACTGTTGGAAAAGCATTCCAGGTGAAGCTGGTTGAGAGAGCCGCCGTTACTTGTTGCTAAGATACACTCCCAAGAGAGACAGTCACTAGAAGTAGAGTAGGCGGGGGCACGCGTAGACAAGATGGCGTATTGAATTGAAATCGGTACAAAACACCTCAAGATAAAAACATAATATTCAAAATCAGTAAGTTAGACTAAATATTAGCATTTCATATATTCGCAGTTAATATAATTCAATCTGGATAATAACACAAAACAGATCATAAGGCTAGAGAAATATATCGACAAATATTACAACAACACGCAACACCAAAACATGACTGAAGACAAGCGTGGAGAGCCGATCCCCAAAAGGAAACGCGACTCATCGACTGATACAGATGATATATGCTTTTCACCACTGGGTATGGTAAGTGTGGAAAGCGACCTGTTGAAGTCGATAAATGACAAATTGGGCATATTAGAATTGGTCAGTAAAGACGTAAAAGAGTTGAAAGCGAGTCTTCAAATGAGTGACGAAAAAGCTTTGGTAATGGAGAAAGAAACCAACGAATTAAAAGTGACAGTCTCTAAAATGGAAACGGACGTTAGGGAACTAAAAAAGGAGAACACTCTTCTGAGAGAAGCCTTACTAGACATCCAAACTAGATCGATGAGGGAAAATCTAGTACTTACGGGTATTCAGGAAAAGGAGGGAGAAATAACAGAGAATATTATGAAGGACTTCCTGCATACAGCGCTACAAATCCCACTCGAGGCTGTCGATAAAATCCAACTCGAACGTGTACATCGTTTCGGAAAAAGAGGACAGAAATATGAGCGCCCAATCGTTGCCAAATTTGATTTTTTTAAGGATAAAGCTATGGTGAAAAGCCTAGGAAAAAGACTTGCTGGCACGAAAATAGGCATGAATGATCAGTTCCCGAGGGAGATTGTAGAAAAGCGCAAAGTTCTGTATCCAATCTTCAAGGAAAACAGATTAAAAGGGAAACGTGTTGCACTAGTGGTGGATAAATTATATATTGACAACCAAATGTTCAGAGACACAAAGACTACTCCATGGCTATTCTAAAAGTTGTAATAGAGGAGTCAAATATTGGAGCACCTGATACTAGCAATGATAGGGATTGTAATATTAAATAACATTTATAGTAAGTATAGTATTTTATAAAAGGATAAAACGATATAACAAGCAGAATAATACATCTTATAATACAAATAATTAGAACATGGCTTTTTTGGCGGGAGGTTGTTGTTTTGGCGGATGGTTGTTGTGGTTGGTCCTGTGTTCTCTCTGGCGTCCTTTCCCCCTTGCGGCAGATGTGGATGCGGGTGCGTTTGCATGCTCGGCCCATTTCTTCCGCAGTCAACCATGTGGTGTGCATTTTTGTGTTTGAAAAGGTGCGGCGTTAAGTGAGTGAGAGGGTAAATGGCTTTATATCCCAGAGCCAACCGGGGGTCTATGAGCAGGGGTAGTGAGAGAGAGAGCTTTCAATTTTGTGTAGATGAGGGATATACATTTTTAAA